TAGGAAAGATTAAGTGGCAATTAATATAAATTATGAGTTAATTATTTAAAAGTCCTATTTACAAATGTTATCATATTTCAGACCATATTTAAGTTTTTTTTGAACCAATAAGTCTTATTTAGAAAAATTGAGAATATTATCAGTATTTCACAATTTTTAAAATTAAGAACATTATCAATTTTGTATAGTAATGTTCTAGATAATTGTTTCACTAATTGATGAAAAAAACTGAGCATGAGATTAAATATTTTTACCCTTTTACTTATTGGTTTGATTCAACTATCCAATATAATCAAGAGTATTAACAATTTTTTTCCAGTTTTAAAATTAAGAATATTATCAACTTTTTCATTTAAATTTTTTTTTTCCAATTTTGCACATCAATATTTCATCATCATGCTCCTTATAGACAGAAAATTTTCATTGTTGCATAAAAAAATATTTTAATTTTTTCTATTTTTTCATTTTTTTTTGTTTGCACATTTTTTTTTTTTTTTGGTTTTTTCAATTTGAAAGTTGATGTTATAAAGTTTTGAAAATCAAAATAGATGTCAAATTATCATATTTCTTTATAAATAATCATAAATAATGAACAATCTTTGTTTGAAGGGTAATTTCGACTATTAAAAATTTAATGGGACTTGAAAGTCTAAAAAGTCTTAGTTAGGACTTAATGGAGTATAAATTCATAAATTAGGACTTGTGTGTAAATGCCCCATAAATTATTGAACAAATTCAATTTAATTTAAAATGGCAAATTATATTTAGGCAAATAATATTATGACAAATCATTATTAATGATATAAAAATTTCAAAAATCTAAGAAAAAAAGATTATATTTTGCAATTATACACCATATAAAAAATTTGAAAATATGATTTAATTTTCTTATATATATGTGATTTAATGTTAGACCGTCGACCGGTTTAGGTTACAATTCGAGCCTCAAATCCAATTGAGCTTGAAAATTGCCTCTTTTCAAAAAATCAATAAAACCAGTGATTAAATCGGTGTTGATTTGTTCGGACTATCATATAAGGTGAAATTTTCAAAAGATTAATATTAGGAATATCAAATTTTCCACCCAATATGAGACATTTGGTCATCCATTTGACCATAAAAAATTTAACACATAAGGCATTTTCTTTTTGAAAAATGTATTTCCCAAGGCTTTAACTCGAGCTCAAGCATAAGAGGCACTGCTTACCACTGAGCCACCAATACTCCCCGATTAAAAATTAGTTGATATAATTTATTTATTAGCTTTTAATCATTTTCTCTCATATACTAATATAATTAATATTTTTATGAATAGTATCAATACAAAAAATAAATGTATAAATTAATATAATTCATAAACATATAATGTATATTTAATGCCTATTTTTAGTTGATTATATTTTTTATATATTTATTACATAATTATGGTGTCACGGTTCGACTGGATGGTTGAGTCGGTGATATGTCCACCTAATTTTCTTTTCCTGTTCGTTGACCAGTTCAGTTTTTAAAACATTTAAACCTTACTCTAGGGTATGATTATTATAAGGTTAATGCAATTCAAGGATTTGGGTTAATGAAGAAGGGGTTTTTTTTTTAAGGTCCCTGGTATTATGATTTTATAGCATAAAGGACACCAAATATTTTCATAATGTCTAAGGTCCCTCAACAATATTTTCATAATGTCTAAGGTCCCTCAACCTTGATCTAGAGAAATTTCAGTCCAGAGAAAATTGGTCCAGAGAAATTTGGCCCAGAGAAATTTCAGTCCAGAGAAATTTCAGTGCAGAGAAAATTGGTCAGAGAAATTCTGGCCCAGAGAAATTTCTCTGGACCAAATTTCTCTGGATGAGTTTCTCTACTTTTCTTCTCATTCACATCCAAATCATTATGATTCATTAGTTAAGCAACATTGTTCAACTAAATTCAACTGGAAAAATTCCACATTGTAATATGTAAGCAACATTAGAATGGGATAACAATGACAACTTACCAGTCATAATCACCATAGTTGCATCTTCCAAGCTTCAGCAGAAGGTCGTCGACAAGCCGCCGCCATAGTCGCGTCTTCCAAGCTTCAGCAGAAGGTCCTCTCTTCATCTTCATAATCAGCAACGATGTGGCTTTGAGTATGTTGAAATTGAATGAGGATGTCGTTGGAGATTCGAAAGCTAGGGTTTCGGAGCAGATGGAGATTTGGAGTGCGGTGGAGATGGCTCAATTGGAAGCGGAGAAGAAACATGATGAGGTTGTTGATGAGATACTTGCGATGTTGAAGGCTGAAGCTTCGAGATTGAAAGAAGTTGAACAGGAGGTTGGGAAGGATGTGGATGAGGAACAGTAGAATATATATATATATATATATATATATTTGTGTGTATGAGTGTTGTTGAACACATATATTATTTTCATTGAGATTTGTGATTGTTGATGGAGTTTTAGAAGTGTTTCTTCTCAATTAGATATGTTGATTAATTTATTTTGTTTTTGTTTGTTTGTTTGTTTGTTTTTTTTTTATTTTTGTTGTTTTTTATCTAATTTCATTTTGCTCTGTTTTTTTCATTTGACAGAACCAGAGTAAAATTTTACTTTTATACAGAGTAAAATTTTACTTTTGTGTAGAGTCTCACAGTTTACTTATTTTTCAGAGTAAAATTTTACTTTTATACAGAGTAAAATTTTACTTTTAGTTTCAAAGTGTAAAATTTTACTCTGTATAAAAGTAAAATTTTACTCTGAAATACATAGTGAAGATGGCTTAATAGGAGAGCTGATAGATATGAGGGTAATATAGTAAAATAAACAAGTTTTAAAATATCAGGGGCTTTTGAAAGTACTTATATAATTCTTGTCATTTTGAAAGACAAATTAGATAGTGAGGAGGCTATCACCAAATCCCCCTTTATTTAATCTTGTTCAATAATTTATATTAATTTCCACTTTATTTTTCCTAATTTTAATTTTTATTAATAGTCAATAAATAATTTTTCTCAATTTCATAATTTTGGGTAAAATTTGAAGGAGAGATCTTAAAATAAGGATTAGGAAAGATTAAGTGGCAATTAATATAAATTATGAGTTAATTATTTAAAAGTCCTATTTACAAATGTTATCGTAGTTCAGACCATATTTAAGTTTTTTTGAACCAATAAGTCTTATTTAGAAAAATTGAGAATATTATCAGTATTTCACAATTTTTAAAATTAAGAACATTACTATAAGACTGATATTATCAGTAATGTTCTAGATGGTCTGAACATTACTGGAAAAGCAATTTTGTATAGTAAGGTGAAATTTTCAAAAAATTAATGTTAAGAATATCAAATTTTCCACCAAATGTGAGACATTTGGTCATCCATTTGACCATAAAAAATTTAAGACATAAGGCATTTTCTTTTTGAAAAATGTATTTCCCAAGGCTTTAACTCGAGCTCAAGCATAAGAGGCACTGCTTACCACTAAGCCACCAATACTCCCCGATTAAAAATTAGTTGATATAATTTATTTATTATCTTTTAATCATTTTCTCTCATATACTAATATAATTAATATTTTTATGAATAGTATCAATACAAAAAATAAATGTATAAATTAATATAATTCATATACATATAATGTATATTTAATGCCTATTTTTAGTTGATTATATTTTTTATATATTTATTACATAATTATGGTGTCACGGTTCGACTGGACGGTTGAGTCGGTGATATGTCCACCTAATTTTCTTTTCCAGTTCGTTGACCAGTTTAGTTTTGAAAACATTTAAACCTTACTCTAGGGTATGATTATTATAAGGTTAATCCAATTCAAGGATTTGGGTTAATGAAGAATCCTTAATGAAAATTTGTAAAATATTAAATTACTTTGAATTCAAATATGGCTATTGTGAAAGTGATGGTGGGTGTTTAATATCATTTCATGGCATGCCGCTAAAAATGTCACGCGTCCCCAATTTCAACATTAATCTCATTGTATTCTATGGCTCTAATGAAACGTCTTGTTAGGGTTAAAAAATCTATCTAAAAAATATAAATAAAATTAAAAGATACATCTATCGTATGCTATTTATTATTCATACAAATAAAATATTAAAAAATCATAATTATTTGCATTTTTTAACCTAACTAAAAAATCACAATGCACCGTAGGGGTATTTTCGAAATCTATTTCAATGATACAAATCATTCATATTATAAGATTGATCAAGCTGATCATCTATGAAAAAAAATAAGTCAATTTGACATCTATAACCATAATAAAATCACATTTATGTTTAAAAAATAAAAGTTAATATAATTTTGATATATTTTTTTAAACTATTATAATTCGATCATGAAACTAAGCATATCTAATTAATCTTATTTTTTATACAAATAATATATTCGATAATTTTATACAAAAATGTTTAAGACCATTTTCCCCCTCACCCCTTTGCTTTTGATTGATCCTTTTTTTTTTCTTCTCTCCCAATCTCCAACCCCCACGTGTGTGTGGGGGTGATGGGGGTGGGAGTTTGGAGTGTGTCTGTATCGCCTCTTAATTTTATAATATAAACAATTTGAATCATTAGATTTTTTTTTAAAAATGAAAACAAGTAAAGTAAATTGAACTCTCAAACCTTCCACTCGAAGCATTTCACAGAATTCCTTTCCCACGAAGCAAAAACACGCAAAAATACCAAAACAACAAAAACAAAAACAAACAAGAAAGATTATGGTATATCCTCTATCATAGGTATTTTATAACAAAAATGTTTAAGACCTCATTTTTTCCACTTCCTTGCTTTTTTTGATTGGTCCTTTTTTTTTCTTCTCTCCCAATCTCCAACCCCCATGTGTGTGTGGGGTGATGAGGGTGAGAGTTTTTTTCTTAATTTTATAATATAAACAATTTGAATCATTAGAATAAAACTGAGACAACCTCAGTCGGATCCTCATCGAGGGAGAGGTTTTTTTTTTTTAACAAAACCATGCCCAATTTGGGTTTTGGCCGGAGCGTGTTGTATACGTACTTGAAGGGAGCGTGGGCTCAAAATATTCTTCCCTCCACTACAAGAGAGAGAAGGACTCCTTTGATATATGAGAAACTCCAACTCTGAGTACTCCTTTGATATTTCAGCAAACCAAGAGGGTTTGAGAGAGACAGAGAGAGAGAACCCTGCTCTCAATTGCATAGTTGCTTGTAAGTTCCTCTGACTTTGCTCTCAAATATGTGTTCTTTATCTTTGAAATTTCATTGTTGTATTGTACACTCTTCATTCTTTCTCTTTGGTGCTTAGTTTTGATCTCTTCTTCTTAATTGGTACCCTGATATGATATCTCCTTAAAATTTTCTTTGATCTTTCTGGGTAAATGTGTTTCTGGGTATATTGTCAGCTGTTATCAGTTTTTTATGCAGTGTTTTGCCTTTGATTTGTCACTGTTTGGTTGTGGCTTTACAATTTTATTTTAATTTATCTGAGTTTTCGAAGGGGATTTTTATTGATAAATCATGAAAGAATTTTTTAACCTATTTAGTCCCATAAAGTCATTTTTCTTAATTTACATTATTTTCTTAAACTTTTATGTCCTTATATTTAGGTCCCGTTTGGGTACTTACTTTTTTAGCCAATTAGCCAAAAAGTTACTAAATTAGCCAAAAAGTCAACAACTCATACCAAAAAATCAAAGATTCTCTTTTCTCTCTACTTTTTGCATATTTTCGTAATTAGCCAAAAAGTCATCCCAAACATACAAGTTTTTTTACCTACCTTTTTAGTCAAATAGCCAAAAAGTTACTAAATTAGCCTGTTCCCAAACGAGGCCTTAGTGTTGATATTTAATATTGATATTTAATTTCTCTAAACCCTAAATCAAAAAAGCTCCCTTTTCATCAAATTTTAATGTTGATATTTAATGTCCCTAAATCCTAAACCAAAAAAGCTCTCTTTTCATCAAACTTTAATGTTGATATTTAATGTCCCTAAACCGTAAACCTATGTAGCACGGACACGTCTCCTAAGGCAACGTTTGGGTGTCGGACACAGACACGCGTTGGACACGCGGTGGACACGTGTCCGACACTCTACCCAACATGTCCCTTTTTTTTTTTGAATTTTTGCAACCGGACACTCGTTTGGACACTGTTGGACACGCTATGGACACGTTATGGACAGAGAGGGAGAGAAACCCTAACCTGTTGCACAGAGAGAGAGAGAGAGAGAGAGAAAGGGTGAAGAACCTGTTGAAATGGAGCCCTAGATCCGGTATGTTCTTCGATTCTTCAAATCTCTTCTTCGATCTTCTTCTTTTCTTCTGTTTTTCTTCATTTTTCTTCTTCTTTCTTCATTTCATCTGCGTCGTCTGTGTCGTCTTCATCGTCTTCATCGTCTTCCTCGTCTGTGTCGTCTCCCTCTCTGCTCTCTCTCTCTCTCTCTCGTTATGGTGTTTCGATGCCCTCGTTTGACCATCGATCGTTGTATACATTATATACTAATAATATATATACATATATATATTTATATACTAATAATAATAGTATATATATTATATACTAGATATATATTTGAACAAAAATCTTTTTTTTCTTTTTTTTTTCTTTTCCTTTTTTCTATTTTTTAGATATTATTATTTGTTTAAATAAATTATTTTTATTTATAAGAAAATTTTGATTTGTGAATAATATTTGATATTAAAATAAATAAATAATATTTATATTTTTTAATTTTACATATAATAAATAAATAAAATTATATATATTGAACGTGTCCCTAGCGTGTCGTATTCCCCATTTTTTGAAAATTTGCGTTTTCCCGTGTCCGTGCATCATAGCCCTAAACCAAAAAAGCTCCCTTTTCATCAAACTTATTAAAAAATTTGATAATCTTATAAAATGGACACCTTTCTGAAAAGTTCTTTAATGACTTTAACGCCCTGAGAATTCTCTCTCATCTGATGTGAATGTTCACAACCTCTTTCCGGAAAATTCTCTCTCATTTAATGTAGTGATATAAACATTCTTATTTTTAAGCAGTGATAATATGTTATTTTTCCCCTTTTTGTGATTGTGATTGCTATTGGTGTTGGTGCTAATGGTGTTCAAAGGATGTGAATCGTCTGTTTTTTTTTTTTCAAAAAATAATAAAATGGTGGTTTGATATATTATTGTCTATGTGTGTAGCGAGTGTTGTGATGTGAACATTCATATCATCTGTACATTCTTATTCATGTCATGTTTGATTACCTAAAAAAATAGTGGTGTGTGGTTAATGCATTGTTGATGCTGTCATGTTTTTGTATTTTCTCTCTCATTTGATGTGAACGTTCATAACACATTTTCGGAAAATTCTCTCTCATCTAATGTAGTGATGTGAACATTCACAACAGGTGAACATTCTTATTTTTAAGCAGTGATAATATGTTATTTTCCCCTTTTTTTGTGATTGTGGTTGCTATTGGTGTTGATGGTGTTCAAAGGATGTGAACCCTCTATTTTTTGTTTTTTTTTCCCCAAAAAATAATGAAATGGTGGTTTGATATATCATTGTCTGTGTGTAAATAGTATTGTGATGTGAACATTCACATCATCTGTAGCTAGTGTTGCCCCAATGCGAACTTTCACACGTCATCATGATCATATTGATATAACATTGTGAATATTAACATTTGCATGTGGATATAACATGAAGATTACCATTGAAAACTATCCATTTCTACTTAATATTGTCCATTTTTTTGTCCCAATACAAACTTTCACACGTCACCATGATCATGGTGCCTTTATCTATATTCCAGAATTCGTGTGAACATTCACATTTGTATGTTTTATTATGAATATTCATATCATGTAATTAACAACATAATGGTAAAAATTCATTTTCAAATTATTGTGAATATGATGACAGTCAACATCTTGATGTATGGGAACTACCAAAACATAATGACAATCAACATTAAGGGGTGATTTGGGATGTTCTAAATAAGTGCATTTTTTAACTTTTTATAAAAAAATGTGTAGAAAAGTAGAGAAAGTAGGTAGAAAAGTAGAGAGGAGATGTCAATAGATGTTGATTGATGTGACCCAAATAAGTGTATGTATGCAAAAAAAATTGCACTTTTTTAGTGCATGCCAAACACCTGCTAAACTATCAACATTAATGGGGGCATGAGAGATGTAGGGTGATTTGGTCTTTTTATCTCAAATAAGACCTAATGGAATAGTCAAAAAGAATATGGGTTGGATGGAATAAAACTTTTAGAAAGGGAATTTATCAAAAAAGCTCCCTTTTAGAAGCTTAGATAGTATTGATCTTTCACTTTATCTGCAAATTCACCATAGTTGGATATACTTTCACCATAGTGTTCTGCATTTTCATGGGCTTCAGCTGTTTGTTGTAATTTGTTGCATCCATGTATGCATTTACATGTGTATATCATTATGTACATACTTGTAACGGACACCAATAGCTCCGTGGCTTAATAAATGATTTTAGATTGTCATCTGTTTTACCTACTCATGCAGGTGGTACTAGTAGTAATTCTCAACTTTGTTATACGTTGATTGCAGTTTGTCTTTAAGGATGTTTCAACTTAATTGGTTATATCCCATGGTGAAAATTTATGATTTGAGATAAATTCGGCATGTGACTCATTTAGAATGTTGTAAAACATTGGGATCACATGATGCAATCCTTGATTTAATTAGAGAAGGTAACATTATTGCATAATCTTCTGAATAAATTCAACAAATTATTTGGAAATTATTTATGAATAGCCAGGATAGATAATGATGTATTATTGAGTTTTTGCATTATGCAAATGTGGGTTTTATGGAACTTCTGTTGATTTGCTAATAATCTTGGGGTTCTTATGTCAATAAACGGAATGAGTGCAATTATTCAAATTTAATATAAGTTTCACAGCCCATGTTTCATTTTTTTTATTTAAAAAAAATCATTTTGTTTTTTCGTCGCTGCTTTCTTTTATATTATGTGGTCAGATGTGGCTATTAGTAAATCTTCTGCCTTTAGCTTGATTTGATGTTTATCTAACTGTATCATGCTTTTTGGCATACTTGAGAAGAAAATACATTCCATCTCATAGTCTTTAGGCATGTTTTCCTGAAAGAAAAAGATTTAAGGCCTCTGCTATCAGTAGCTTGCGTCTGGATATGTAGATACCTATGGCAGATTGGGTTCTATGAGTTGGGAAGTTCTTATAGAAATCTTCATGTGTAGCTGCAGCGCTGAACAATAGTAGTCATAAAGATGGGGACACACCACGATAGAAACCCTTTCATATCTGAACCAAACACAGAGGCATCTATTCCCCATTTTTCTTGGGCTCATTCTGGAAATTTCTTTTCCGCGACAAAGATTGGCTCAAATCCCTTTCAAGCAAGTCAGATGGACCCGAAACCCGGTATTGCTGCTGTTCCCATCTGCTCTGTTGCCCCTATGTCTGAGCCGGCAGAGAATACAACTAATCCGACAAAGGTTAAGAAAAAGAAGTCCACTGCTAAAAGTCCAAATCAATTTGCATCTGACGTATTGAGGCCAAAGCAACCAAAAAAGAAGCCTTCTGGTTCAAAAAAGTCTAAGAAACAATTTGAGCCGGGAACAAAGGTTGAGAGGAAGAATCTGAATGTAGTTTTCAATGAAGCTGACTTGGATTTTTCTGGGGTACCTTCGCCGTATTGTTCTTGTACCGGTGTTGCTAGAGGTTGCTATAAAAACGGTGCTGGAGGATGGCAATCGTCGTGTTGCACCACTAACATATCTGAATATCCCCTCCCCATGAGTTGCATGAAGCCTGGGGCTCGTGTGGCTGGCAGGAAAATGAGCAGCGGAGCATATGGAAAACTTCTATGTAGACTGGCAGCAGAGGGTCGTGACCTTTCTCATCCGCTTGACTTGAAGGACCATTGGGCCAGACTTGGTACTAACAAGTTTGTTACAATTAAGTAAAGATGTTCAAAGTTCACAGTTACGTATATATCTGCCTTTTTTTTAATTTTTAATTTTTAGTTTTATAGCTCTTTGCTTTCCTTTTAGATGTAGTTTCTGATGTATGTATCTTGGAGGCACTTGAAAAAACATGTTTGTGAGCATGCTTAATCTTTGTAGTATTTTTATCCAAATATCTTCCTTCTTAAGTGATTCTGTTCTTGACATTATGATGCATTATTTTCCTCCATTTGGGAGTATACTAATTTAATTTTACCATTATAATGATTTAATTTCACCATTATAATGCCATTTTCTGAAGAAGAAAAACAGATGGTGTTTTCCCAATGTTGGATGAATGAAATATCATTTTCATCCTCAAGATGCTCAATTCTGGCTGGTACCCTGCACATGGAGCACACTCAAGCTTTTCCCCCAAGTTTCTAATTCTCTAGAGTTGACAGGGATACAATTGTACGACCATAAGAACATATTACTTTGTATATAATCTGAAGACATCTTAACAACCCCCCCCCACATTTTGTGTGTGTTTGTGTTTGGATCGTTCAGTTGCCAATGAAAGTCTAAGCATGCTTCTTTTGCCGACCTACCTGTTATTGTGAATGATGATGTAGGTTATGAGAGTGTTCTATATACTTTTCTTGGAACTTCATCTAGATATTTTTTAAGGGAATGGCATGTGGGACTGTAAATCTTTGGTATCATCATCATTTGGTTTGCAAAAAGAAATACTGAAATTGCAAAATGTTCCATAACTGCCAGAATTTTTTTACAGAGAGAGTGTGAAATTGAATTCCAGATTCTAGAAATGAAAATTGTTTCACAATAGCTTGATATGGAGACAAACCATCTTAGGTTGTTCCTTGTATCATAAGAAACTGTGGCTGAAGGATAAAATGAGACCTTTGAAGGTGGTAGTTTCAGACATGGAGGTCTTAGGTTTAATCTTGAAATCCATTTTTTGTTTCTCATTATATCTGTCATGCTACACTTTGTTTTCTAGCCATTTGTGCATCCTGCTCAGTTCAGTTTATTCGTACTTGAGCTTTTGAGACAATTGATGACTTTTACCAATTATGACAATACAAGAAAAGTGATGCAGGTAAGTAAACAATGTGCCGAAAGGTTTCCTTGATCTTCTTAACTGAATTTCATATCTGCTTTCGTTTCTCTATATTACAAGTCTCCACAAAGTTCCAACTAGACATAAATACAAATGAAATGTTTCTAGTTCTTATTAGTGGAGCCTTAGAGGGACGGGACAAGAAAATCTGGAGAAAAATGAGAGAAAAAGTCCAGTGGAGTAGGGATAATATATGACGAATTGGTTCTCTATAGCTTAATATTCAAGGCATACTTTAGAATTTTTTAGCTTTTGAAGGAGCTGCAGCCTTAGTGGCAACAATTTGCTCATACAGGTCTCGGATCTTCATTCCAATTATGGTCTGGAAGAGACCAGTTCCATTGTTGCTGCCGGGGAAGTCGGCGTGCTTCAACATTTGTTGTGTGACTTCACCATAAAACTTGGTAGAGATGCTACTGAGATGGCTCTCAACATAAATGAGCTCATCTAGTCTGTCGAATTGGCCATCCATCTCCAACACAGACACCTGAGGGAAACAAATGAAACAGAGTCGATTATAAACATCATATAGTTCAAGGAATACACTTGAATCAATCCTATTCACCCAATTTTCTAGTTGTTTTTTGAAGCTTGAGATTGCATACCTCGTGACTGAAGTAAGCATCGGGACCATAGAAAAATTTGATGCCAGGGTACGAGCATGTCAGCTTCCTCCCACATGGTATCCATGAGATAGTAGAGCCTTCATCAAACAGGTAAACTGGGGTGAAATACTCCACCCCTTCTTTCATTATCAACCTTACTCTCAAAACCTTGCCCTCATTGTCATCTGGAATGAGTTGGGTGGGCAACACTTCAATCACAGCATCGGCATATTGCTTTTGTGGATCTGCAACACACAGAAAAACATTGAAAACTTGTGCATTTTTGTTTGTGTTTATGTGTTGCTCTCGAATTTGACCAGGATCATGCTTATTACCCTTGGGTGACCTGCAAGTAAATCCAATCCAGTATTTGTATTTGGGCCTATTTTGACCCAGTTTGCTACTTTTGGATCCTTGTATATATACATTTAATTTGAAGTGATAGGGTTGTGATGATCTTGTGAGCTTATGTAAGAGTGTTGAGAGAGAGAGAGCCAACTCATTGTAATATTTATGTTCATAGTGGAACTCTTTCGCCATTCTTTTAACCATGGACATACGCTTATAGCCGAATCACGTAAATCTTTGTATTGTGTTTTGTTGTATTGCAGATTTTTCTGCTTCCTTGCTTGTCATAACATTGTGCATATGAGAGAGAGAGAGAGAGGTGAACTCTTCTAAAAGTATAAGTTATTAGAGAGGAAAGTGGAACCAAACAATGCAAGCTTGTCTAATCTAGTTGTTTAAGCCATGGCTAAGAAGAATTACCAATGTAAGCATCAAAATCGGGCTTTCGGGCTCCAATACTAGCTTTTATACTCTCAAGACTGTGTCCGCGTTCTGCCATATCCCTCTGCAGTTGTCGAAACATAAATTAGATCAAATAAATGGAGGAAAATGACAGTTGAAAGTCTTAGAGTTGGATCATAAATTAGATCGAAGAAATGGAGGAAAATGACACCTAACGACATGCAAAAAACATCATAGGATTGGATCAAAATGGATTAGTAGACCATTCACCTGAATTTTCCATGCGAATTTAACCTCATTGCTGATGTCCAAGTAGATACTGAAGTCCAAGATGTCCCTCACACGTTCGTCATACCTACACAAATGCACAAAATTATTACTCATTAAACGGGCTTAATTAAGATCATATCCAACACCAAATTGTCAACTATTAATTATATAATTAGATTAAGTTGCAATCAAAGGAATCTTAGGCTTGGACTATATATAAATTGGTTTGATAGGCCACTCCAAAAACTTCTGGACCAAAATGCCCAGGAGATTTCTTCTATCTTATTGGAGATGTCCTTATGTTGGCCAACTAGTAGCCCATCTAACAACCATAAGAACCATCCCCAGCCATCCCCCTGCAACCTCATTGGCCTTCTCCCCCTGCCATCCTCTTCAACCAGTTGTCATCACCTCCAACGTCGGAGCCCTTTTCGAACACCGTAATCCCCTACCACCCTCTGCAACGAGTCGCCACCATCTTCGCTTCCGAACGGCCACCACCTCCTCTTGGTCATCCGCCACCCTCTTCCCTTTATTTGCTGCCTCACATCTTCTTCCTCCTCCTTCTTGCCCCTCCCGAAACCCTAGATATAAGGAGGATGAGGAAGAAGAAAGAAGGGCTGGGAATGGAGGTTTGCGACGGGAGGTGACATAGGTGGGAAAGTCCGGCCAGAAAAATGCTGGAGTTGAGAGGAGATGGCCAGAGTTAGGTTTACAGTTTAGTCACCTTGTTAATTTGATTAAGGAGTATGATGGTATTTAAAATAAATAAATAAATAGAATATTGGGGTGCCCCAAAAAAACTTTTGGGGGTGAATTTAGAGGCAACCCTCAAAGTGTTCATTTTTTACCCTATCATGTGAGAGAAAAGAATCCAATAGGCTAGAGCCGTACCCAGCCCTTGGTGCTTATAATTCTATTCATACATAATTCTATTATAATGATCTGATGGTGATATTCTGATAATTAAAATATATCTTGATGTAAAAGTAATACCGAACATCTAATATATATGTATAAAATAATTATATATGGTGTTAAAAAACAAAATTGTAAGAATAAAGTTGGGCCTAAAGCATGATCCAATCCAAGGACTAATTGATAAAAGGTGACAGGACAGTCACAATTCCACAGCCACACAATCAAATGGACAAACAGTAGCTTTGACATATCTTTCTATCCTTTAGCAATATACAGAGCTCCTATGTTCACATATTGATTTCTATTCTTGGATTTCATTCAAAATATAAAATCTTTTTAAACTTCTTCCAACAATTCTTAGTGAATATCATATAGCCACACATTGAATGAAAATTGCTTTATTAGAAAACTCATTTCATGGAAATTATTTAGAAAATAGAAGAATATTAATATATTTGATGAAAAAGAAAGGAAGAAAACTTCAATGCTGGGAGAGAGAGAGAGAGAAGCTTACATTGGGTGCAATCCTTCAATGACTAGAATCTTAGGAGGCTTGATGAGCTCAGGAGGGTCAAGAAGACCAGTGACATGGTTATAAATAGGCTTATCAACAGCAATCCCATCCTTGAGTGACTTAACTTGCTCATACATTAGATCAAAGTCATTGGCTCTTGGATCAAGTGCAGTCACTCCCTTCTTTTTCCTCCCAGTCCTGTCAAGTGAGTGATAATCATCCAAACAAATCACAGTGGTCATGTCACTGATGAGTGTGTTTGAGTCTGGATTCCCACCCTTTGGTGGCTCAGCACCACCTCCAAACACACTTGTTAGTCTCCTCATGAACGTGCTCTTCCCACAACCCGAGTCAGCTGCTAAACCTATCACCACTGTCTTGCCATCAGCTGAGCATGTTATTGAATTGCCGCCGCCGCCACTGCAGCCTCTCATGGTGGTGGTGTTGCTAGTGGTGTAGAAGAGTAGCTGTTTCTGGTGAAAACCCAATTGGGTATTTGTGGAGGTGGAGATTGAGCAAGTAGAGGAGTTGAGGGATTGGATAGTGTAGACATTGCAGGTTGCCATTTTACCCAGAAAAAGGAATTTGAGAGAGAGAGAGAGAGAGTGGAATACTTAGCTTGGTTTGGGAGGTGACATGAAATGGGTTTTGGTAGTTTTCTTTCGATGTCCGAAGGAAAAAGTCCGAGAAACAAATTAAAGAGGTTTTGGTTGCAGAAACAGATGGCAGTTTTGAAGGATGGGAAGTGTTTGATTTTTTATGGGGGAATTGAATGATGTGTCTATGTGTTTCTCTGTGACTAAACCCCCTTGTTTTGGACAACTCCGTGGGTAATTTTAAGGTGGGGGAAAAGAGTGAGACCCCCGGGTGACTCCCACCACCCAGTGAATGTTGATTGGTCTATTTTTTTTTTCTTTTTTTTGTCATCCTCTCCTTGCCCCCAATGTGTATGTGGGGTGATGGGGTCACCTCCAACTGAGGGTCTGGATCATCTCTCTTTTAAAGTAGGAGAGTAATTATTTCAGGTTGGCGGTGTGCCCAATTAAAAACAAGAAGTTTAAGAATTATATGACACTAAAAATAAGGGAATAATAGAGATATGATATAATTTCATTAGATGGGCATATGATCAGGTGATCTTCCTTACTCATAATTTTTGAAGGAAAATGGACATTTGCCTTGGTGTAAATGAGTGGGATTGGAGGTCCAATTGTCGCATCAAATAATATTTTTTTTTAAAAATAAAATATTTTAAAGTGATTTGAAAATAAGAAACAAATTTTGAAGCAAGCCATAAACTTAAATGTTTTGGGTTCGATTAGAATTAGTGTTTTATGTGCTTAATCGATATTTCTAATTAGTAGATAATTGTAAATATTTAGAGTTTACTTTGCATTATTAGATCCAAAAAGATCATGCCTAGGAGAGTTTCATAGTCATAATTTCTTCTATATATTTTTCTAATTTATAAATTAAAGAGATAGAATTGTTGATGAGGTGATGGTCTTAGTGATAAGCATAAGCATAGGGGCATGTGGAAGCATGGTGGGTCATCTGTTGGAGTTTGGATATTTGCAATGCCACATGGAAGCACTAAAGTGGCTGATTGAAGATGAGGGGGAGGAGGGTGGGAATGGATGAGATATGGACATTATTGACCTCCAAAAAAAAGTTTAGGTGCACTACTAAACACAAAATTTACATATGTAACAAACCAACAATGTTAGATAGTTCAAAATTTTGTAATTTAAATGGCTCAAATCATTCAAAACGACGTCGTTTTGAGTGTAAATGAGTGTAAAACGACGTCGTTTTGACAGATTTGAGCCATTTGAGCCACAAAAATTTGAGTTACCAAACATTTTCCGTAACCCAAATATATGTATTTATAAATGTAAAATAAATGCGGATATTTTTTAACTTACATTTGTGTATTTTATGCTTGATTTTTTTTATGCACGTAGCATAATTGGACATTCAATTCAACTTTCGACACTGTTTGTGAGTGTGTATAGAAAAGTTCTGTGAAATGTGTGGTAATATTATAGTAAGGGAGTTCATTTTAGGACCACATCTTTATATGAAGTTTTCCTAAATTACAATATCAGTAACCAGTGAAAAGAAAAAGTGCATATGAAATTGAAAAGAAAATGAAAAAGGGCACTGAAAATTTAATTTGTGATCCAAATTCACCCACACATTGAAAATTGGTTGAGTTTTTGATATATTCATGTTCGGTTCACTGAAAATTAACTGAGCTTAAACTATTCCTGAACAGTTTGATTCGTTTGCAAGTTTCATTTCAAAAAAAATTACAATTTCATATAACTTGTTCCCTTCCAAACTCCTCTGGTCCTACCTACAACTTTTCAGTTCACCAATTACTTAAAATTTAGGTAAGAAGACTCTCTCTCTCTCTCTTTAACCGAGAATATCTCTCTCTTCCCCTTTTCTTAGGGTTTCTTGAGTGCAGAGTTGTTTGGAGAGAGGGAGACGGCTTCGGCCTCCAGCCACCTCTCACCTCTCTTCCCTCCCCCCTTCGTTTCTTGGTTTTTTGCTAAATAAATTTTGGGAGCTTTCTTCCCAATCTCTCCCTCTCGGTGAGGGGTTTTCTTTCCTTTATGGTGAAAGCTTGCTAGGTTTCTGTTTCTCTATCCTGTCGGTGTAGATCTGCCTTATTCGTCCTCCTCAATCGCTCGCCTAGCTGTCACCACTATCCCACCACCAGATCTACTCCGGATCTGGTATGTCTCCACGGATCTGGCTGTCTCCGGTTCGAGGTTGAGTTTTTCGGTTACTGTTTTTGTTTTGGTTTGGTTTTTTATGAATCCATCGGTACTTGATGTAGCTTACCCACTCTGTAATTGTAACGTATGATCTATCTTAGACATGCTCTACGGCCAATCGATTGGCTTCTACTTTGTAGTACGAGCACGAGTTGTGTGTTTGGATTTTTTCATAGATTTACTTCTGTGTGATTTCTTGATTTCGTCTTTTCTTTGTTTGGTGTAAGTTTATCTGATCGGATGGATTCCTCTTTATATGTGCCGTTTGGTTTCCTTAATGGAAATTTCTTTCTAATAAAAAAAAAAATTGCTTAAAATTTAGAAATCCCATTTTTCTTTGAACATTATGTAATTTGTTATGGAAATGGAAGGTGAAATAAAAAGAAGAATAAATTTGGAAAGTAGGTTAAGGTTAAAATAGTTAATAAAGACAAAATAGGCTAAAATAATTAATAAGACAAAATATCATATCCAAATTATAATCATTTTATTTTTTCTCTCACAACCATCAAGTCAACTATAAAAAAAAAAGTTAACCAACTTTTCAAACACAACTTTTTTAACCAAACAAAAATAATTTAAAAAAAACTAAAAAATCAACTATAATAGTCAACTTTCCAGACGAGACCCTTATATTCTCATTATCAGAAAAAACATGGAAAATTTATTTTGAAAACTGTTTCTGAAAATAATATGAAATTGTGAGTCAAGATCCTCGGTCATGGATTTTTTTAATAACAATCTTGTTATGTTACTTTAACAGTCTAAGTTCAAATTTGCAGTAATACTGTATTGTTTTATAGTGTGGTTTAAAAAATAAAAAAATAAATAAATATCATATTTTTATAGTTTTTCACCGCTTTTTTAATATTTTAAACAATTTGACATTGTTATTTAAGCCTAAATAATATATATGAAGTTAATCCGTCATCTTCAATCCAGAAGGCAACTTTTTAGGACAAATAAGTGGCTGTGAAACATGCTCGGAAGGAGATTGATCCGTCCATTTCAACCAAAAAATACAATCTTGTCAAAGATATCCAACCTTTCATATGAGTAGAAATTCAAGGTGATTTAAAATGTTCAAAATAAATGTACTTTTTAACTTTTTATAACAAAAAAAAAATGTAAAAAAGTAAAGAAAATGGATAAAAAATAGAGAAGAAATGTTAATAAATATTGATAGATGTTGATTGATATAACCTAAACAAGCGTATGTATCCAAAAAAAGTACACTTTTTTAGTACATGCCAAACACCTACTCAATCCCGTTTTGTGTTTCAGCATAAAAAGCAGTCAGGCTATGATATATATATATATATATATATGTGTGTGTGTGTGTGTCTAAACCAAGTGCTTATTTAGGCCGAATGTTTACTGGCCTCCCATGGACTGAATGGACAATGTCACCATTCATAGTGTTTTAAATGGAAGTGTTTTTTTCAGTATATTCAGATTTGATCCAACTTGAAACCAATTTTTTAACCAGATAACCTACAAGATGCTTCCCAACTAATTGACAGAATGAAATTGCAAATAACCTGTCTGATAGGCGACTGAATGCTCAAGATATATATCTGTCGATCAAATTTTGTACACTATTAATCTGTGGCTATGAAACAAAGGAACAGTTTTTATGTAAACAAGAACGAATTATCAAAATACAAGAACATTCAAGGTCCTTCAATGTTGCAGAAAAAGATAAACCTTGAATATAGAACCAAATTAAGAAAAAAGAAAAGAAAAATAAAACAGAGCATGTCAATCAGTATCTCAAACTCAATCAACTAACTCAACAATGAAAATGGAGTGAGGGCAGAATATACTCAGGAGCTCAACAGAGAGTAACATAACACTAAACATCTGAATGGAAAGATGCTGGATTTCATACATCTGTCTTGTTACCTCGGAAGTACATATAAATTTTCTGCACAACAAAAGAACAAATAGAGAGTTCAAGAGAATGAAACTACTGTAGGTGAAACTAAAAATTAGTGGTTAAAATTAAATAAATATCAATATAATTAAATAGTATTTATATCATCATTGCAATATAATTAGGTGATCTCTTTTTTATTTCTTGATCGAGAGGCAAAAATGACGTTTCATGCACTATGCAAACAAAAACATAATTGAATTGCTGTGAATCGCAAATTGAATCATGATGATTCACTCAGCTTTCAATACAATAGCACAATCGGAATCGTTTTGATTGGAACTCATCAAAACATACGAATCAAATTGTTTGGTTTTTCAACAATGTAGAGGATTGACATATATTATTAGTAATATATTATTTTCATACGCAAGAACATTATTATAGATCCTCTGCACTACAAAAAAGTAATAGTATATAAGTACGACGTGAAGAGGAAAAACAAAAACAAGGGCAAGGACAAGTAGGATATTTATAAGTAAAAAGGCAATTTTCAGTTTTCCAGAGGCTAACCTGAAGAACCCACAAACTTAAAAGCGACTCCAAGCAAAACAAGGCAAACCCGATCAAGTAGAAAATCTGCAAAAAAACATAGCAATATTAGTTGTACTTGTATCCATAAATTCAATAGAGTGCAAAAAACAAAAACAAAAAAACAAACAAATACACAGAACATTAATTGCTCATATTGTTATACACGAACAGTCAAATTTTATACATTAGTCCTAATAGAATAAATTTTATAAACTGATTGTAGATGCTTCTTAAAACACACTAGATTTCACTGTATTTTAAGTGTCAAACTGACTCCTGCCCACCATCCGGTAATCTAGATCAAGACATCAAAATTATAACACCTGAAGTTTGGACACAATAAATGACTTTCTCAAAATAATTCCATAAAAAAAGATAGGATTGCAGCACCCTAATGATAAAATCTACACAAATAAATGCAAGAAAACAATAAGATACATGTGTAGAGGGTGACACATTATACAACTTACCCCCACCAACACATGCCTAGAAAAGACATCAATTGCTGCAAGGATGCCCCTGAGATTTGAAAACATGAAGAGGAAAATATTAGTTACAAGATCAAAGTGAAGGATAAGGATGAGTAAACAATAACTTAAAAATAAAAACTAAATTTGCATTTTTAATGGCGTAAAAAATAGTAAAGATTTCTATACTAGAGACCTCCTGTATTGAGTGAGTCTCCCACTCTAGTATAGACCTACCCATGCCTCTTATTCTGAAGATTCAGTAAAGGTTGCTATCTGGAGAGTCTTGACAAAGTTGCAATTTATCATGATAAAACACCACTTCCAACCCTGACAAATCTGAAAGCTTAAGATTATCAAATCTTATTTAGCTACAATTCGATTCACGATTCAAATTACTTTCTTGTTTTAGAAATGTAGCATATAAGGACCATCAGATAGCTGCCTAATCTGTCACAATTTCTGTCTATTAAACAACAATACACCACAAGACATCCACCTGTAAAACATGAGTGCCCTTAAAGAGCCACTGTGAAAAACTGGAAACAGTGCTATTCATAAAGTGAAAAATATTAGGCAGGAAACAATGCCAGTTAAAACCCCAAAAAATCACATAATAGTTTTACAAGAACAACTAAACATAAAATACAATACTAATTGATCATCTAATCAAAATAAATTCCTCAAACAGAAATACAAAACAAAAAATGTAAAAACTTACGCCAATGACTGCCCATGAAAGACGATAGGAGGAGCAATAGCAGCAAATACGCAAAAAACAATGTGGAGCTGCAAGTGCCAGTACCATCAAAGACAAGGAAACATAAGACATTAACTACAAGGAGAAGCAATAACATTCACAGGGCATGAACCGGACTCACCGAGTAAAACAGAAAAAACCAACCAAACTTCAATGCACTGTCCGTCCTGCAATTTGGAAACAGATAGTCACATGACTACAACTACCACCATGTCCAGAACTTTCATGCTATAACCACAGCATCTTTCCAATTCAGATATTTAAAATTCACTCAACAAATTAAACAGCATGTATGCCATTGATATGATCAACAATCATGAAAACAAACAGACAAATAGCCTCCTTATTTTTCTGTTTCTTGAGCCACTTATGGTCATTCTTTGCACCCTGAATCACCTGGGCTGCAGCTAGTCTGCGTCTGCAGCTTGAGTGACCATAAGAAGTAGATAGACATAAGGCATGTGCACAAAATAACTATTAATAATCACTGACACAGCAAATTCTAACATAAGGCATGGCTAGAATGAGGGCAAAGGAGAATATATGGTTTATACTCCCATATAAATACACTTCATTTAACATTGATCAATTTTCTAAATTTCTATTTATAATTGCATAGCACGAAAGACAAATCTCAACATATTCATTTCAAATGACCTCAAGTGAGTCCTTCCCCCAACCCACCCAATCCAACCCCCCAAAAAAGGTAAGATGAATTTGAAGTTTCCCACAGATTGCATAGGATGAAATCAAGAAATGAAAAGACAAAACAAGGCATGGTTGAATACCTCATAGCACGATAAAGTGGCCTGTACCATAGGACATATGAAAGAGGGCATCCAAGTATGGCATAGATTGTTGCCAGGAAAAAAATCTTTACATCTGGAAATAGTGAAACATGTCAGAAGCACTATACTGAAGCTTGTCAAAAATTTAAATATATATATGCCCAAAGGTATTTATAAAAGAATATATATATATTAGAAACCTTACCTCCACCTCTAATCCAATTAACCGTCACAGCAATAACATTGAATACAAGGCAAAGAACTATACCTGAAATGGAAGTGGGAAAAAGGAAAACATATAAATGACAGGACAAAGTTAGAATGAGAAGAATTAGAACAAAGTCACACGAACAAGTGAAGATCCATAGAAGTCTCCTTACCAAAATGTCATAAAGACAATTTAAGAAAATGAAAACAAAATTAAAAAAAAAAAAACCCTCTCTTGTATCATCCAATTTCAAATATTGATCTTCCAAGACTTTTTTTGGGGGTGGTGGTGGAGGGATAGGCGGATTAAGTCACTTGAGTCATCATCAAACTATCCCCTCTATAACCACCAAACAAACTGGCTTTGAAAACAAACACAAACTCTTTAAAGGCTTTGTTTCAAACAAAGATATAATACAACTGAGAGCTACCTGAACCATTCTGGATGATCTCAACTTCAAGTTCCACAACAAAAGAGACAAAAGATTTAGGCAGTTCGCAAAAGTAAAATAATAATTGACCTTGAGTATTTTTTTATGAACTGCAGATAAGGTTTGGAAGGATGGGTTGCTGCTAAAAGCAAGCAATTAGCTAAGACAGAAATATCTGAATGATCCACCCTCAGAAGCTCACAGCTGGACTCACAAACGGAAAAAGGGAAAGGGCAAAATGTAAAAATAAGTCCAAATTCCAAAATGAGGAGATATAAAATCCATCACACTAATTGACAATATTCAGTTCAAAAGTCTGACATTTTATCGTGGTAGCTGATGCAAAAGGCAGAAAGCATGCAAGTTGCCAAAGAAGGTTTTCCGGAAAACTAGTATGGAATTGTACAAACATTTCATAACTGACTAAAAGAATAATACTTTACTAACAATTTTTCCCTATCAATTGATCTCAAGGTGGAACTATTTCATTACAGTTGAAAGAAATGTAGTCCAAATGAACAATTCTGTAATCAAAAGAACAAAACCATCCATACCTAACCAACTCGCAAAAGCCAAATACTGCAACTTCTGAGCATGAACAGGGATCTCATTGGATATATCATGATGAATAATTGGAAAAAATGGAGGCCAGTTCCTATCACCATCTGTGGGAACACCAACTGAAAAGAAATATTGGGATAAATAAATCAGAACATTGTCATTATCCAGGAAAAGCAAACAAAACTACATCCTGTGCAATGAATATTGCTTGCCCTTCATCTCATGGCTTACCACTGGCAACAGTATCTTCCCTTCGTTTAATTTCCTGGAAAGTGTAACATGCATCAGTACTGCTTAAAACAAGTACACAATTTATGTTAGAAAAGTGCATGCAATCAAGACATACTATGAGTGCCATTGTTTCATCAAGCAGTCTGGTTGTCATTTTGAAGGCAGCAAAATGATCAATTTACAATTAAGAAAACATTAACAAGTTTTTTGAGGTGCATTTGCAAGCATATGCTCAATAAAAGAATTGTAAAACTAACTCGTTCCCTCCTTTTCAGATCTTCTTCCCAAGCTGCAAGTTCCTTCTTTTTTTTGGAATCCTGCCATATCAAACCAGATGATACACAACTCAATACTCTGAATACTAAGAAAGGGCAAATAAATAAGGAACTGTAACTTCATTACATTCATTGTATCCAATGGTATATCAACAGTTGCATCATGCTTTTGTCCGAAACCCAGGGTTTGAGCAACCATTTGAGGAATGCGTGACTTTGATCCAGGAGCAGCACTGCCATTCTGCACACAAAGCACAATTTGGATAGCATGATGAACCATATAAATAATGAATACAGGTAGAAAATTTTAGGGCCCAAAATCCAACAGTTGCATCATGCTTTTGTCCGAAACCCAGGGTTTGAGCAACCATTTGAGGAATGCGTGACTTTGATCCAGGAGCAGCACTGCCATTCTGCACACAAAGCACAATTTGGATAGCATGATGAACCATATAAATAATGAATACAGGTAGAAAATTTTAGGATCCAAAATCCAAAATGCATGATTCAAACAACAATGAGAATTAAAAACCAATATATTGTGCCAAAAAAAAAAAAAAAATTAGACAACGATGCTTTAACTGGTTACTTGCAGAGGCAACAAGTACCTTAAGTCAGACCTGAACAGTTCATCCAAATTCATACTTCACCAAGAACATGGCCCACCAATCACAGATTTTATTGCTCTGCATACATCTGTGTCTACTACAATCACAAGGTTCTTTACTTTCTGAAGACAACAATCAGTTTTGACTAGAACTTTATAAATTGTGTTTGGTGTGGACCTTTTAAAATTGATTCAGATTACTATGCAAAATAATTATGGGTAAATTACAAATACACCCCCTAAGGTTTGGTTAAAATAAAAAGTGCCCCCTATGGTTCTAGAAATTATATCCCACCCGTTGAAATTTCTAATTTCATAACAAATAACCCATTTTATTAAAAATCATCAAGTCAATTAATATTTTGTAACAATATCAGAAATTTATTTCAATTAATAATTTAGGTAATTTTGTTATTGATAGGAAAGCAATTAGGAATTTCAATTTTTCAGTTAATTTTGTTAAATAAAAAATTCTGACGATGGGGTATTTATAATTTTTTAAACCACAAGAGGCAATCTGTATTTTAAACAAACCTCAATGAGTATATTTGTAATTTACCCAATAATTAATTATGAGGTGATTGTTTAATGCATTTGGTATATTATCATGGGGTGAATTATGTTTTCATTCGCTCTTTGGATTAGGCGATCACAAATAACTTTGCATTTGGACCACATCAAACCCTGGCAACCTAAAACCTGAAGAAAGCTTGATTGAATTTCTTGGGAGACCATAAACAACCCTAGAAAAAACCATATTTTGGCTCAGAACCCTAGCCTCTCACATCCTCATAAAGCTCCAAACTATCTCCTAGCTTTTGGAGTTTAATTTAACAACAAAAACGCTTTACCAGAGTTTCAAATGCCTAATTTTTAGCAAAGCCAGCAACCCACAAATTCAAAACTCAAGCCAATACCAACTCTTTTTGGTTCACAAACTCTAGAACCCTTCTATGATCTATCTTATCTTATCCTAATCCTATGACCTTTTTCTTGGCCTAGACTAGACCCACTATAAAAAATCATTTTAAGGTGGTGAAATTCCAACTATCCTAAAGTTGCCTACATTACTGACTTAAAATCATAACCTTAACCAAAGTCCCCAACAAAGACACATGAGCTACCACCAGAGTCAATCTCCAAAGAGAAATTTTAACTCAGCGAGTCCCACAAGGATCCCATCCCTTGAACATAATTTTTTGACCTCCTTATACCCTACATCAACAGCCCATTCAACCATTTTATGTAGGCTAAAAGTTCATGTCTAAATGTGTTATCATACCCAATTACTTGAAAAGGAAAATAGGGCTAATTTTGGCTTGCCTACTAAAGAAGAACATGGGATATGCATCTTACATTACTCCAAAAGCAACAACTGATTTTTGAACTTGAAAAACAAAGGGATCCAAACATTTAAGGTCATTATTAAATGCATAGATTGCATTATCCTAGCAAACATGAACATAATGGCACTATTTTCTTATATTTCATTAAAATGTGAAGCAATAATTCCTAGATTTCATCAACTTTGATAATACTTTCAGCCACATTGAAATTTCATTTAGGCATCAAAAGCATGTATATGTAAATGGATAAGTATGACAATGTATTAATTAAAGGAATTAATTAAATAAAGGTTTCTTCACACATTGAATGAGGTGGTGATTTCATGGATCAAAATATCAGCTGTTACGTAACAGATTTTGGGCATCCCAACTCAAATACTCTGCTTTGTATTGCCACAAAATAAAATAACATACTTATCGGCCAATACACATATTGGGTATCATTTCCATAACTGGGAGCTAAGAAGCACGGATACTTTGACGTATCTGTGTCGTATTCGTGTCGGATACCAACACTCTTGCGACACTCTTAGGACACATGTCCGACACTCTTCAAAACGTGTCCTATTTTTTAATTTTTTTTAAAGATTTGGACACTCTTTGGACACTTGAAGGACACACGTGTCAATTGCTTAAACATACTTGTCTATCAATTAGACACGTGTGAAACTAATTACAAGTTTGAACAAAACAACTTAAGATACAATAATAAAACAAAAATCATATAGATTTATAAGAATTTGTTATATTGTATTTTTTATTATCTTTGAATGATATATTCATACATATAACATATAATAAATATATAAAATTATATATTTCAAGCATGTCCCCCACGTGTCGTATCCTTTATTTTTTGAAAATTGATGTGTCGGCGTGTCCGTATCGTATTCATGTCGTGTCACGTGTCCGTGTTGTGTCACATGTCCGTATCTATGCTTCTTAGAAACATCAATATATCAATCAATAATACAATTCTCTATTTCTTTTTATACATCATTTTTTTACAAAAATTATATATTTCAAGCATGTCCCCCACGTGTCGTATCCTGTATTTTTTAAAAATTAACGTGTCGGTATGTCGTATCTGCGTCATGTCACATGTCCATGTTTCTTAGAATTGGAGAATCAGCCGACACGCACCATTGCGCATTGCTTGCCAAAATATTCCCCTTTTCTGGCTTTTTTGTGTTCAGACGCTACTTTTTGTTGCTCAAAATTACTTCTTTTCTTATACATCATATTCATATACAAAATACAAAAATATGTAGTTCACTAGTTGTATTTGTATTTATTTATTTTTTTATATAACATATCGCAAATTCACAAAAATATTATAATTTTGTGTGTAGCCCGTGTGCTTGTATTTGTGGCAAGTGGGTATGCGAAAATTTTCACTTTCTCCCATAATCCCATTCAAGTGAATTTCCTTAAAAAATCTAATTTCTATTTTTGTATCCACATTAGATTAATTAGTATTAAAAATGAAAAATTTGCTAATTCATTCAAATTAATTAATTTGTTTTTTTCTTGTGAATTAACAATGCAATTGCAAAGTGACTAATAATAACAATGTCGCATGGGAAATGGAGAGAAACTTCCGTTGATGATATTGGATGAAATTTAATTGTAATGAATTATCAATTCTCTATTCTAGTAGCATTTCTAATTATCCTATATATAGTTAAATCCCTTACTACATAAATTTTTTCAATCTTTTTGGCCTTGAAAACAATATAAAATTTTATAATATAATAAACATACGTTAGGGGCTACAATGTTGATTAAAAATCATTACAAACATCAAATTGTGATAAATAAGGTTGAAAACTTATTACATTTAGGTCTTATGATCACGACACTCAAAAACTTATTACAATTAGATCTCTAATTGCACCTTTCAAAGATAAATTGTGGACCAAAATTATCCCCTACACTGGTATATATAATACGAGAAATTCAAGCTCTATGACACAACCTTATTTCAACCAATAAGATCAGAATTGCACAATTCATTGGAAACGGTTCCTTTTATTGGTTTCACCACCCAATACAGACATAGCAGACCTAGCCATATCATACCCACAAAATTCCCAATTAAAAAAATGTCACATCCCACCACTTAGCCTACAATCACAAAACAAAAATACCCATTATTCTATAATTTCAACAAACTCTCTACAGAAATTTAGTCAACCACATTTCCAACCACTGCACAAAATCTAGGGTTCTCCGATCTAGACCCTCACAAAACGCAGCAAGCTAAACCCATCAACAACTGAAATTGACGACGACAACAACAACGACAACAACAACAGCATAGCAGTATAAATAGACAAATCAAAAAATAATTCAAATTAAAAGGCGGAAAAGCGACCAGATCTAAAAAAGGGCATGTGTATGTGTATAAGATTGAGGAAGGTTACCGAAAATGGATTGATTTGTTCCTCTTCAAAAGGGTTCGGATCGTTGCGTCTATTCATGGTTGATTCTTCTTCACTTCCCCAACAATTTTGCACAAAAACCCTCCGCAGAGAGTGGTGAGTTATAGAGATAGAGATAGAGAGAGAGAGAGAGGCACTCTCCACACTTCTGATATCTGCTTGCTTGTGTGCAACGCGGGAGGTTCAATGTCGATAACAGACTTTTATATTTGCCCCTGCGAATTTGATAAAATAACGAGTTGTAAAGCGGTGGGGTTGAGATTGGGTGGAACGGGTTTATCAGATGCACTTGGGTCTGAGCAATAGAAACTTGCCACACTGCAATTTTGGTCATGTGAACGTCACGTGACTAGGTTTTGTAGTAACATTTTACTCTTTGGGTTTGTGGCATTCATTTGTTGGCGTTTATGTTGGTGAGGGGTATGATGATGCCACACTAGATGGAACCGACTATTGCCTTAGCTGTAATGCCACGCAATCGCATCACAAGTTTGAAATAAACCCTTTAACCTCCACGAGTGAGCTGGCCCGATGGTTCACGTTGGAAGTAGGGGTGGACAAACCATGGGTCAGATTTGAATGTGATTCACACTAAGCCCTGTTTGGAAAGTTGATAATTTTAATTGATTATTTGAATTTTTTTTTCTATTTTAGTCTAACTAAAATAAAAAATAAGACTATAAAAAAAAAAAGTGAAATAATTATGAATTATATGTAATATTTTATTTTATTGACTATTTTAATCTATTTTATTTTTATTAACTTAACCAAAAAAATCAAAAAAACAACTTGCCAAACAGCGTCATAAATTTTAAGACAACTAACCCAATCTCCCACTTGGGAGCTATATTTCGATGGAGCATCAAAGACTGAAATCTCCAACAACAAAACGTACAATTAGTTGGGAGTAGGAGCTGTCTTTGTCACACAACACCAGAGAAGGACATCATATATCAATCACGCTCTTTTCTCAAAGAATGCTCCCACAATCAGGCAGCGTACGAGGCTTTGATGATCAGGCTGGAGATCTCAGTCTACTGGATGTAATTCCAAGAGGTGAATAAGAATGAATACCACATAAAAGAGTCAAGACGAGGTTCCCAATAGAATGTTTAACCGATCCATTCCGGCTTGACCGAATTGGCGCCAAAGTTTGATATCAAACATAATTTAATTATTCCAAAGTCAATCTTAATTTTTTTTTTTTTTAAATATCACATGGGTCAGATTTGAATGTGATTCATACTAAGCCCTGTTTGGAAAGTTGATAATTTTAATTGATTATTTGAATTTTTTTTTCTATTTTAGTCTAACTAAAATAAAAAATAAGACTATAAAAAAAAAAAGTGAAATAATTATGAATTATATGTAATATTTTATTTTATTGACTATTTTAATCTATTTTATTTTTATTAACTTAACTAAAAAAATCAAAAAAACAACTTGCCAAACAGCGCCATAAATTTTAATACAACTAACCCAATCTCTCACTTGGGAGCTATATTTCGATTTAGCATCAAAGACTGAAATCTCCATCAACAAAACGTACAACTAGTTGGGAGTAGGAGCTGTCTTTGTCACACAACACCAGAGAAGGACATCATATATCAATCATGCTCTTTTATCAAAGAATGCTCCCATAATCAGGCAGCGTACGAGGCTTTGATGATCAGGCTGGAGATCTCAGTCTACTGGATGTAATTCCAAGAGGTGAATAAGAATGAATACCACATAAAAGAGTCAAGACGAGGTTCCCAATAGAATGTTTAACCGACCCATTCCGGCTTGACCGAATTGGCGCCAAAGTTTGATATCAAACATAATTTAATTATTCCAAAGTCAATCTTAATTTTTTTTTTTTTTTTTTTTTAAGTCCACTTGTTTAACCTAATAGATATAAGTTATTAAAAAGATATAAATCCACTTATTAAAAACGATATCTAAATATATATATATATATACTAGTGTTCCACTTTTGTTATACACGAATTGCGTTTATAATTATTTGTATATATATGAATTGTGATTTTTAATTTTTTAACACACAGAAAAAGGAATATAATAAATTCAGCATATCTGCAAACAATTATTTTGTATTTGTTTTTATTCAAAATTAAAAAATAATGTACTGGCAAAATTTATAACTAAATTAAGAAAAAATTTATTCCTAGCAACAATTTTTTACTTCTATATAAATACTTAAAAAAAATAAACCTAAAAAAGGTAGTCAATATAATATATACATTAAGTAAAAAATGTGGTTCGCAATTATGCTTATATAAATTTACTATAGTTTTAATTTCAATTTTTTTTTTAAAAAAAAACTATTTTAATAGCATCTTATTTAGTTAGTATCAAATATAATTTTCTTAGCAAAAAGAAAAGTTATAAAATTTTATTACAAATTTTCAAATGTCTATTGTTAAACATTCTATTCTACTTGCTTGTTTGCTTGCTTGCTTACTTTGGGAGTTTTGATCTTTGATATTTGCTCCACATTCATCCTATTGTTATATTTATTTTTCTTCTTTTTGCTTGATTTTTGCATGATACTTCTTTCATAGTGCATCTCCGAGTGTATTAGTAAAAATATCATACACTTAAAATGCACAAAATTACAATATATAGAATAAAAAAAAAAGCAAGTAATTGCCCAAAACTAAAACTACTTTAAGAAAAAAATAAAAAATAAAAAAATGTAATTGTTTGAAATAGAAAATGATTTATTTATTAATTAATTAATTTTAAAAATAAACTTTTAAAGAAAACAAAGGAAACTATATATATATATATATATAAATTAAAAAAAAAACTCAAAACTCAAAACGGAAACACATTTTTGGTGTTTTCATTTTTTGGCCAAATTTATAAACTGAGACCACTGATTTATAAATCAAAATTTTTACCAAATAAGTTTTTATTTGAGTTTTTAAAATTTTTATAAATATAAATAGAAAATTGAAAACATAAGTGTTACCAAACGGCACCATAGTTTTAGATATGTTTAGAATAATCCCCACTTGTCGTTGAATTATTTTTCTTTATTTCTATCTTCTTTTTCTTTTCTTTTAATTGATTTGTGTTTTTGGATATTATAGACGATTGAGGTGAGTAGGCTGATATAAAGCATTTTAAGAAATATGTTAGATACTGTAGGGATATATTTTCTAAGTACCAACACGTGGCAAGGTGATGCTGACGTGTCAGCCGAGGTGCCACGTGCCTTGGTCATGACGCCGAGGTGATCTCGGCAAGGCCGAGATTATCTTCGAAGATATCGGAATCTGAGATAAGTGGATAAGGGACAAGAGTCCTAGAATGAAAAGAGAACTCAACCTGGATGAGGGACAAGAGTCCTAGAATGAGAGAAGACTTCGATTTGTATTAAGATAAGACTCTTAGAGAGTTTATCCTAATTTTACTGGGAGTCCAAGATTAGCAATAATCCTGAGTCTATAGAAGTTAGACTTTTATTGAGACTAGGTTTATGTTGGCTATAAAAGAGAGGCACCCCCATGGGTCTAAGGTATGCTTTTTATGCTTAAGCTTGTGAGTTTAGCACTTGATTATCTTTGAAAGATATACTGACTTGATCGTCGGAGTGCCCCCGGGTGGTTGAACTACCGCCGGAGACTTCTCTTTCTGTTGCAGGTTAGCTAGAGGCCATCTATTCTGTCAGTGTTTTTCCAGCTGATTACTAGGTGGGCAGTGTGATCAGAAAATCACTCACACAGAATGCATGAACCAAAAAAATGGAACATTTGAGAATGAATGCTTTTTGTCACGACCCAAACCCATCTCTATGGGTTTAATATCATAACCGGCCAGTAATCTGTAATTACCAAAGGCCTGCTTATTAATAATGACAATTATACAATAAAAGGTGGCTGGCAGAAGCCAATCAATCATAGAATATATCGTCCAATGAGCTGTGAGGACTTAAATGAACAAAATAATCTTTCTTATACTTGTATATACACAACACTTAAGTCCACAATTCACTTATATACAAAACGAAGCATAAGTTAGGGAATTAAATCTCATTGCCAAAATAGTAGTAACAAAAGTCATAAAACACACGTAATCCTTAATTACAAATCAAAAGGGTGAATTCGAGCCACCAAAGCTTTGACCCGTGTTGGTTCGGAACTTCGTGGTGAGGCACAATGGTTGGCTTGACAAAAATAGGATTTGGGTCGACGCTACTAACTCTGATCCAGTGCTCAATCACCTATATATATATAATAAATAATGAGTTAGAGCTCGGTGAATAACAATTGTGTAAAGGGGTTATGAATGATATCCTTACAATAATTGAAACAGTTAATTTATCAATAGATCATTTTCTCAGTCAATATCTCATCTCATATCAATCGTTTTGATTCATAATAGTCATACGTGGTACATCCAATGGCAGAACAATTCAATAGGTCTTAAAGACCGAACAATCATTTGATGGTCCTTAATGCAATAGCAATAATTACAAGAATTGGAACTGACAGAGATCTCTGTAACAACAATAATAACAATAGCAATAACAATATGCTATAGATGCCATAAGTACTAGTTCAGAAAATAAAACAATCATTCATCAGTAAATATTATCATTTCAATAAAATAATACATTTTTATCAATCAGAAACTAATCATAATTGAACATAGCTTTACAACAGTGTCACTCATAGTGGGCACCCAGAAACACGTGCTAAAGATGCACTAAAGATACGGCGTCCAACCTGAACAAACAAGTTCAAGCACAACAACTTAATACACAATTCAATCATTCGATCCGTTGTTCACTCGTTCGATTCTAATTTTTTGTTCTATATTTAATTCGTGTTTATGAGATGTGAATGCACATGAAAAACACTTTAAAACCATGCAAATGGAGGCCCAGAAAGTAGAAAAGTGGAGCGAAAACGAAACCGGGATTGACCTTAAAACTGCACGTGCGGGGGCACTGGCTGCACGTGCAAAACCATTGTCACGACTCGCTCCCTATACCCAAGGATTAAGCATCGTGATGGCCAGTAACTGAAGTTACCTACGGCCAATTCATAAAAAAATTAATAAACGCAAGCGGAAGAAATATTTGAGTAAGGGTATCAAAATAATCATTGGAGCTTCTGTTTT